GGGGGGGGGGGGGGAGAGGGGTTGGCGGCTGAACGTAAAAAATTTCCAGATGTTTTTATGTAAGCAAAGTAAGATACCAGGTCATACAAACATAGTTGGCAGAACCATGGGGGATAGCGAGCGATAGTCCCCCCAACACTATGAGTGGTGGGCTGGCTAAGCCATACCACTTATTGTTATACTTAAAATAACAATAAGGAATGGTTAATTAATGTATCAATATGGTATCAATTATAAACACAATAATATTTGTTTACGTCACCTCCCTTAAAGTATTGAGCTTAAAATATTAAAAAAAGACGATTAAAAATCCCCTGTTAAAACTTTGTTCAAAAACAATATTCAGACAATTTCATTACAGAATCTTTAAAACGCATGCAAATAGAACTTTGTGATCCTCTTAAATTAAAGTGAGGCGAAGTTGCATGCAACTGATTCGTCGCAACGTTTCTATTCTTGGGTTTAGCTACAGTATGATGCAGAAAAAGTTTGAGAACTCCTTTCTCTTTATACAAAATTTGATAAATTCCTTGTTATCATAAGTCGCTCTTTATTTATCTAATAGTCTCTTGCAAACAGTTTCTCATTACTTTTGTACGTTCTACTGCTGTATCTATGCGAAAATTTTCTGACTTGCTCCATGCGGAAATTAACCTATGTTGACTTGTGTCCAAATGTCTTCCATCTCAATAAGATAATATCATTATATCATTAGAGTACTGAGTATACTGGCTCAGTGTGACTGATGCGCCTTGAAATATTGACTAGAAATACAGGGTGTCCCAAAAAAGTCCCCCTATAGAAATCACTCTTTTGTTGTTAAACGTGCGTTATTATACCTCTGGGAATTTAAAATAGCTTCTAAAACGAACAGCAACACAACAACATTACAAATTCGTCTTACCGTAAGTTCGAGTAGAATGGTTCAACTGACTACAGAGCAACGAGTATTTGTCGTAACAACTTATAGAATATAGGTTAACGCAAAGTGTAACCTGGCGAAATGTTAAATAATTTGGACGGAGGGAAGTTGTAAATACTTCCGCTGTTCACGTACAATTAAATTAAATTTCTAAGAGTAAAGATGTAATAACGCACAAGTGTGATTTCTAAAGGGGGACTTTTTTTGAGACACCCTGTACAGGTTGTCCCCCAAAAAAGTGACACTATAGAAATTATTCTAACAAAATACAAAATAAGTGAAACTCCAAAAATCGATAACATTTTTATTTATCTACGTTTCGACTATATTTCAGTCATCATCAGGATAAACTAGCTAGATTATACATCAAAAGCAGTATTTATATGAAGAAATATCATACAATCATTAGACATTGTTATAATTTGAATGCCTAAGCACTATGCTGAACACAAGATGTCAAGAGTGCGTAAACACAATTGAATTGAATTTTTAATTACCAGGCGCATGAAATCCTGTGCTTAACAACAATAGGATAATTTCTATAGTGTCACTTTTTTGGGACACCCTGTAATATCCCACTCATTGCGAGGACAAATAACAGCGAAAATTTGAATAATGAAATAGAATTATGTGCAATCATCCATGCCAAAGTTTATCAGAAACATTTCGCAGCCAAAATTTCGACGGCGTAGAGTTTCACTATCGTTGAGTGATATGCAGCCAGTTTTGCAAAATCATAATGATTTTCTACATATAAATAAAACTTTGGCTCGCATTTTGCCAACAATCACGTTACGTTGAGTTAAGTTCAACGGTTTTTGAAACCGAAAAATTCATTCATTGTGGGCCGTGGCAAATATGAAACAAGGAAATTGAACCCGCAGAATATTATACATCCTCTCTGCTTCTCGATTTTGAACAGCACATGACAGTACAGCTGGTACTGGATATTGTAAAAGTATTAAACTTTACAGGAATACTACTTATAGCAGGTATCATATATGTAACAGTCTATGTAATATTTGTTGTGGTGGTATTATTCGTATGAATGCATATTACCTATTATTAAATTTCACAGCAACCGTGTAATAATATCAGATAAGTCTCGTGGTTTGTCGGTAAGTAAATTAATGTTGAATTCCTCAGTAAAATACATTCACGAATCACAACTAATTCAGTTTCAATACTCCAGTCTGATACTTGTACCTTCATTGCTTCAAAACGCACACTTGTCACTAGACTCACTACACTTCTCAAAGGGGCTCAAAACAGTGCTCGTGAATGGAATTTTAAGGATTAAATTCATTTCATTAACATATGAAGCATATTACATGGAATTTCCTGTATCTTATAAGCAATATCCACGCAGAATACTGAACCTCCCCATCCAGCCCTGCAGTCAAGCAGAAAATATTTTGTAATTCAACCAAAATTTGATGGATTTGTCCTTGGCATATGACATTGATTCCACAAATTTTCGTATTAAATGTTAATGATAATTTATCTTATTTCTGACATACAAACACAAATAAAAAAGCGCACAACGTCACAAAAACCTAGGAATGCCTTCCTGGCGATCTCGAGTTAAACTGAAAAGTTCACAGGAGGCAGGAAGTGGGTCTCGTAATATTTACATATCAAGCTTTAATTACTGTCGAAACCGGAAGAACTTTGCACAATACAAAATAACACACCATATTATAGCGTTTGGTGGCCAATTTACTGGAAGATTCCTTAAGCATGCAGGTATGTAACTATGTAGTATTATAATAGATTTTTGAGTTATTCAATATTGACTAAATATTGATATTATTCGTATATGAAACCGTATTTATTTGTATTAAACAATTAAATATCCCCCTTCTTTGTCTCTGGTTTTGTACTAAGTTATGTAGTCTCGATGAAATTCAGAATATGTCCAAGATACAGTGGAAAAGCTCTGCTACTGACTTCATTCCGAGAACAACTGCACGAAAACACGCAAGTACAAAGTAAGTTACTCGCAGTGGCGGCGGAACAGTTGTTGTTTTAAAGGGGGGGAGAGCTAGCTTCCATAAATTGTCCAACATATAAAAACCATTTTCCGGACTAACCGATATTTCCGATTTCATGTCTTAAATTTTCTACATTTGCCTATAATTTTTATATATAAACTTCAAAATTCAGTTTAATCCTCAGTATCCATTTTTGAATTGCGTGCGCCATATGCCTATGATGAAACCGCAATCGCCGTGAAATAAAATTCTTAATATCGTATTATGAATCCAAAGAATATGCTTGAAAAGGAGACATATCAAAGAAATTTGATAAGAACAGTTCTGTTTAACTTAAACAAGAAACGTACAAATCTTATTCTTGTTCATCATACATTAGCTACTTCACTCTTTATGAGGGATATTAATTTTTATTTTCAACAACAATATTCGGCGCCTTCAAGCTGACAAAGGCCATAGATTTTTTCCTTACTCAGTGCAAGGTCTGGAAAAGTCGAGATCTTATAATTTTCAGCTCTCGGCTAGTAATGGTTTTATAGACCTCCGAATTGACCGATGATTTTCTATACAGCAATAAAATCTGAAAAAATATTTCTTAATTAACTGTCTTTTTCTTTTTCGTGTGTAGGTTTAACTATATGGCTACATACGTTCATAAGATGGCTGGCTTTGGTTTTCTAATTTTATTTGGTTTCAGTTGTTTGTTGTTTCCATGTGAAGGTATATATTCTTACACGATGGTGTAACTACATACAACATCTTATAAAATGCCTCTCATGCAGTTGAGAGCTTTATAAGACTTTAATTTCAATTATTAGAAATTGCTACCCCCTAAAAAAATCATGCATTTTCTGATGTTTTTATACTTTACTTGTTTCGTTCACTTTACTCGCCAGACACTCAAAACAGTCACAAATCAAGTCAAATTGAATTGTATATCTCTGCATGTAAATGTTTTAAATTGTATTCTTCATTTCGTACTTTTCTTTGCAAAGATCAATCGGAATGACTTGACGTCTTACGATTTGTTCGTTTTAATGTTCCCCAACATTATTGTATAAATGAATTGAATGGGAACAAGAATATAGAAGTAATTGGGTTTTTAGCAAGTCTATATATCTAGTATAATAGCCATATGTAATTGTTGAGTGAACACGTACTCCCCCCGCCACCGCCTATCTGTCAGTTATACCAAAACAAAATTGGAAAATTTGTGTGTTGTTTATAGGAAAAGTCTTTCCACCATCTGATGGAACCAGCTTGGTATTTGCACGTGGATCAACTGAGAGAATAGTGTGGTCATATGATGATGAAATAGAAGCGTTGAGTCGTCGGATTTGGAGTTTCGAATCAAGTGATGGTAAAGTAGATGAAATATTTGCATTTGTTGACGCTGACGGGAGGGTTAATATATTAACCAGCTTATTTGAGATTGCAATAGAAAAGCCAGCAACATTAGTTTTAAGAAACATTAATGAAACTTATGGTGGAACATACAAGTTTAGCCTGGCACCTAGCAATGGTGGTGTTGAATCTGAAGTTGTCGTTTCTATTGCAGGTAAGTTTTCAGGAATCTTGTAAGTTCAGCTTTCTTCAAAATTCATTTCCATCAACCATTTTCGGCTTGCATATAGGCATGGCTAAGTTCTCGAGACAAATCTACAAATTGATTTAATTTTCAATACATATATAGTATTAGTGCAATCATTAACTATGGTGCAATGTAGTGTCATTGTGATGCAGTAGACTTGGCAAAAATGGCTTCATTTTGGATTTCCAAATTTTTGGTTTGTGTTTCTAAGAATGAATAATTTCTGATTAACTGATAATTGCAATTATGCTGCAATCAAAGTCCTCATTCTCAATGACTTACAGTTTGATCAATGAAATTCGTAGTTATCATTTTTTACGTTTTGGGATTTAGAGTCCACCAAATTAATAGCACTCGTTTTTGCACGTCAGTGGATGTCATACCCTTTGGCAAAATCAGAAAATAGCAGGGGATATTTATTTAAGTATTCTGAAAATATCCAAATACACATCAATTGTTTATTGGAGAATCTTTTGGAGACGTCTATATAAATTAGAAACGTTAGATGTGAAGTGCATGGTCACAAGTATAGTGACCAATTATAATTATTGCGTTATCGCGGTACGACAATGCATGTGCTGTTTTATCAAGAATCTGCTAATTGAGTTGCATTCTTCTCCCCTACAAAATGACTTTCCAATTGCATTTCAGTAACACCGATGGTGACAGTCGAATGTTCCAGTCCTGCCACAGTGAATACAAGCGATATTTTCACGTGTGCATGTAAAGGACAAGGTGGCAAACCTCCTGCAAACGTAACGTGGTATAAAGGGAACGACGTGAAAAGTATCACAGGGAAAGAAAAACAAATATTGCATGTCTTTAGTGCCAAAAGAGACGACAGTGGGACGTACAGATGTGAAGCGAAAAGTCATGAAGTTGCAAAGAATGACACAGAAATTGAATTAATTGTAAATTGTAAGTATATAGCTGGTACTATAATGAATCAAGCATCGCAGTAGTTGAGACCTGCATGTTTGTTGCATTTTAAAATCGCCAGGACGGCCCAATCCTTCTTCATGTACTTCTTGCATGTATATATATTCTGATCAAACAGTACATAACATGCAACTATACGATTGCTTTTATAATCGTTTAACACTATGATCTGTCGGGCTCACTTCTCTTAATGGCAAATATCAATGACAACTTGATTGCCATTAATAAAGTTGTCAGATGTTATGCGCCGGCGTAAATCAGCCCAATGGCAATGTATCGAATTTTGTTAAAAGTTCCTCTAAGTAAGTATTACCATATTAAATAGACCCATGGCACTGACGTCACAAATCCTTAGAGTGTCGTCCAGATGCTCCCTAACAATATCTGTTCGAGTACAACAACCACATACAGCGCAAAAATTAACCATTTTAATACAAAATTATCATAAAGTTTTACAAAAGATGCATCGTCACCGGCGCTGTGACGTCATGTGCAATGGGTCTATATGGTGACTATAGTATCCAATTTTCGGTTTCATAAAAACGGCAGGTAAATATCAACACTCGAAAATACATCATTGCACAAACGTTAACATTAGAAATCAGTCTAATTTCTTGACAGATCCACCTGAAAATGTAAAACTGATGTTGACAAGGAGTAGTAAATCAGTTACTATCAGATGTACAGCTGAAGCTCGTCCTCCAGCAAGTTTCAAAATATTCCTGAATCAAACTGAGGTAGTCAAAACTGACCAAATACTTACCATACCTGAAGTAAAAAAGAATCATGTTGGTTATTATGCGTGTTTTGCAAGGAATTTTCTGGGAGATGAATCTTCAGATCGTGAATATTTATCCCCTGAAGGTAAGATTACAGTTTGTCTGGGTATGAATATAGTTTGGTAAGGATTGCTCCAACTGTACCTATATGTGTACACCGACAACGGGGTAGGAACAACTTTTTAATTATTCAGATTTTCTTGATATTACTTTCATTTTGAAAAACAGGACCACTAGCGACATATTCAACGACGAAAGGCAACGAAATAGGTAATGGAATACCACAGTTTTTAAAAATTTTGTTTTATATTTTGTTCAGTATTATAGAGTTACTCGATCAGTTATATTGTTATTTTTTCTTAATAATTTCCATGTATTACCCATTTATCCATAGCCATGCATGTTCTTTCGTTCTTATACTATAAACATAGACAAAGCATCTTCGAACAACACGAGTCGTGGAACTGAATGGTATATTGTTGTGCTATTAATTAATTTATTGGTGTCCGGGATTATCATTGGAATTCTTCTTTCTTACATTGTCTCATGTTGTCGTCGTAAATTTAGAAGTAGACAACCTCAGTCAAACCCTGAACCAAAGACAACTGAGGCTGATACAACTAATTATCAAGAGCTTGATCTTTCACAAATGAACACAGAAGATAATTATCAATCGTTGAGAAACACAAAACCTCAACCAAACCCTGAACCAAAGACAACTGAAGCTGATACAACTTATCAAGAGCTAGATCTTTCAAAAGTGAACACAGAAGATAATTATCAATCGTTGAGAGTGAATGCTGCAAGTAGTGAGGAGGAGTCAACATATACTGAGTTGAACAAAACCAGAGATGTGGAGAACAACTACCAATCTTTAACTTGAACCTGGAATATTGTACAGATTTTTCAAAAAAATACTCCCCACTATGTTTTTTGCTATTATACTGACATTACTACGTTGGTTTTGATAGCAGTTTCGAATTTCCATACTGGGTGAAATAACCATCATGAAATCTGATACGATATGCTTGAAATTTCAAAGTCGCCGCAGCAGGTTATATAAAGAGCCACCTTAAAAAAAAGACCGTCAATTTGGACATGTTATTTTGACTGAGACAAAAGATGTAAATAGTATATTGATCATGCAGTTACCTCATTAACGTGCCAACACTGCCGCAGAACCCATTATAAGTAGTTCGGGCGCTTGGAATGATCAAAACGATTCTGTAAAAGCCTTATAGTCATGCCAGCTTTTGGTCAAAGAAAATTTGTTCGTGTGTACGGTCGCCAAAGAAAACTTGACAAGTGTACAGGAAATATACCACAACGGTAACTCCAAATAAAAACAACATTTTTTTATATTGGCTTTACTATGGTGTTGTCTTTATTCGCGGACTTACCGTCGTGGTGTAAGTACATGCAGGAAATACTTATGTGGTTTTGGCAGACAACAGGCTGTCTTGACGTGAGATAAATATATTTAATAAATGTTTAAATTAAACAACATTCCATGCAAAACGAGCAAAAAACTTGTAAAGGAAAACTTGTTGACCGCACACACCCGAGAAGATAAACTTGTCAAGGAATATTGTCAAGAAAAACGTACTCGTCTGTACGGGGCTTCACATACACACAGATCCTACAGGAAACTGCACCCAAATTAACATCCGCACAACCGCAAATATTAATCAACGGTATTAAATTAACGCTATATACCAATGTGCAACAATCCATGCCAAAAGTATATATAAGATCTAGCTATAATACAATGCCAAAACTTCGCTGGCGTTGATATTTTGAAATATGTAAAGTAAGAGTTCGGCATTTTTTAGTGAGACTATTACATAACAAGTTAGTTTCGAAACTTCAAAGCTTTTTGGAAAACAGAAGAATATTCAATGTGACAAACAACATCTGAACATCAAACAAGGAGGATATTAGCTATATCCTCCCTACTCGATTTTGGTCAATTTAAAGGAACACAACAGTTTGGCACTTTGGCTGGTACCATTTTGCCGTAAAAGTAGTATATAACAGGTATGTAACAGCTATACTTATTTATTGTAATAGAATATTTAATAGTGTTATTCATATATGAAACCATATGTTGGTTAGAAGCAATCAGGTATAATATCAGACATCTGTCTTCCTAGCTACTCTGTCTTTGGTTTGTGTACTAAAAGAATGGAATCTCTCAATAAAGTAAGTAAATTCACAACGTTTTGACACCCCATGCAGTCTGGTGTGTTCATCTGTAGCAGCGAACTTCTACTAAATCGTACCATTCAAGCGGCTGAGTACAAATTAAAAATGTACCCGGAATCCCGAAAGGACCCACTCCCGTTACTTTTGGTTTTATCTGTTGTTTGGAGCCAATGCGAGAGGTTGCTAATTTTCTTAATCTTGGAACTACTTTCTGGAATTTTTATGCCCCTTAACTTTTCCGCCATAGCTAATCTCGGACGGCCGCTACTTTCGGGATTCTAGCAATAGGTAAATACCTATCACTCAAAATGAGCTCATGCAGTTCACGTAAAATAGGGCAGCTCTGGCAGTTGCAAAGATTGCAGGTTGTTCATATTTCATACACTCTCTTATTAACTTAACCAAATAATAATAATAATTAATTATATTGTTTAAAAAAACTCCACTATATATATAGTTAGATGTTTCTTTATCATAATCATATATTTGAAACTTTTGAGTGCCGGAAAGAAGAATCCGAAGACAAATAGAATAATATATAAGCTTTGTTACAAAGTTATTAAAAGACAAATATTTATTCATGTAAGTACATGAATAAATGTTTGTCTTTTAATAACTTTGTAACAAGGCTTATATATTATTCTTTCATGAAGACTTCGTTATAAATTTACAAAATCAATATTGTCTATTTGTCTTCGTGTGTTCTAAACTGAGCAAAAACTTTCGAATGCCTTTAAACAATGTGTTCCTCAATCAAGAATGCACTATCCTTTGACTTCGTTTCTTTTTGCCAAAATATTGAATTGTATTCGTAGGTTGCACTCAATAGACTTGTACAAAATGACTTCTTAGAATTCTTACGTCATTTTCTACATTTCCATAACGCCAGTGAGACAACAGGGACATGCAAGTCAATCAAATATTCTGGACAACATTTAGTGTTGACATTGTTATATTTTACCACTACCAAATCTTCATTTTTAATGACTTACAGTTATTTTCAATTGAATCCTTTCAATTATATCCAAAATACAGCAAGTTTAAATGTTTGGTATAACAAGTAGCTAATGAACACAATTAGTGCATGTAAGTGAGCATGTAATGTGATAAAATGAAAGTTTTAGTGAGGAATTATTAACTTCAATACTTCTGTATAACTGCATTTATCTAGCACTCTCCCTTCTCTAATTGTTCGTCACACGTAGAGCTTCATGCACTCTACAGTAGTCTTGCAAAATAATTTTTCATACTTTTACTCATGTTCATGGTTTCATTACATTTCAGAAAAGCCAACTGTGACAGTCTGTTCTAGTCTTGTCATACTCAATGAAGGTGATGACTTCACATGCATGTGAATGTCAAGGACTAAATGACAACCCTCCAGCCAATGTAACGTGGAACAAAGATGGCAAGCAGATTGGTAAAACAAGGACAGAAAAAAAAATATTAACTTTGATCAAAGTTGATGAAATAGATAGTGCAACTTACAAGTGTATGGCCGAAAGCTACCCCAATGCAATAATGTACAGAGATGAAAAATCAATCAGAGTAGACGTTAAATGTAAGTATGATTGACACTCGAGTCAAATTTTCCAAACCTATTTAAAGAACGTTTGAATTTAGAATTTGAAATTTAAACTACTGCCTTTATAATTAACCTTCCTCAAACCAATTCATGCGTGGATTCAGTGTGACCCTCTAACAGGCTGTGCAAAAATTAGAGACAAATAGCTGATAATGCTTTGGAGTGATGTTAATAAAGTCTTTTTGTCCATCATTTGTCTGATGGGTGATGACGTCTGTCTGATGGGTGACGATTATTTAGAACTGAGCCATAAACTGGCTGAAGTTGCCGCGTATTACCCTTAACACTGCCACGCAGTTTTGTAAGGTGAGATGTTAAAAATTCATGTTTGTTTTAAAAGTTCATTTCTTCACAGTTAAACCAAAAGACACATCCATTGAATTCACACAAAACCCAGCTATATTTGGTAGATCAGTTACCATAATGTGTAAATCTCGTGGTTCAGTTCCTGAAGCATTAAGTTATGCCATATTCCATAATGATACTCAGCTCATTAACGAGAAGATGTATACTACTATTGTCGCGTGGAGTGATGCTGGAACATATAAATGCTTTGGCGAGGACGAACATGGAAATTATTCAGCTTCTGGCTTCTTAAATGTGAAAGGTAAGATAAGATTTTAAAACATATTTTCCCCATTCTATCACCGGACGAAAACGCACGTGGGGAGGAACACACGGAAAGAGAAAACAAATAGCATGTATACAGGGGGCGAGCAATAACACGCAGATAAATTTTGGCTTGAATTGGGGCATAACTCTATATTACTATGATTTAGTTCCGGATGCAGGGTATCGAGAATGAAGATATCACCTGCAGATGTAATTATTTATATAGTATAATATCAGCTATTTAGCTATATAACATATAATAACATAACACTTGCATGTACAACTTGATACAAACACCATGCAACAAGTCCAACAATACAAAATACAAGCAATAAACTGTGACGGTATGATCCCAACTTATTTTACACGTGAAACAAAATTACAGCCGCCCTGAAGAATACGAAAAAATCATTTAGAGATTTTTTCACAAGTGTTGTCAATTATTCACCATGCATCAACGAAGTATAGTCCCCGTTCAAGTCACTCATTTCCTCCAGTGAGGACTATACTTGTGAGAATTTATTGATCTATTTTAACAAATTTAACATTATGACAATGTGCAACACTCTCATTAGCATCTTGTCAATTCCTTTGCACACAGTTGAAAATTCTTAGCTTATTTTCTAACTCGTCAATTCTCCAAATGTACCTTCAGGAGAGGCTACAGGTTCCAAAGTGGATTGCGACAGTTGTGGAACTGTTGTAGTATGGCATATTGTTGTGACGTTGGTGTCTGGATTTATTCTTGGAATTCTCTTTTCCTACATTGTCTGGTGTTCTCATCGTCGTTGGTTGAGAAACAGAAAGCCTGAACGAAGCCCTGAACCAAAGATAACTGAGGCTGTTACAACTTATCAAGAGCTTGATCTTACAAAAATGAACAAAGAAGATAATTATCAGTCGTTGAGAGTGAATGCTGCAAGTCATGACGCTGGAAATCAAGCTGGAAATGACAATGACTCTACTTATACAGAGTTGAGCATAACCATAGATATGGAGAACAAATATCAATCTTTAACTTGAACATGGTCTTAGATTATTAATATTATATAAGTGTTAAGGGCTAATTCTAACCGTAGTCAATAGAATAAAAGTGGTGAAAAAAAACCGATGAAACACAATAGAAACTCGATGAAACACAATAGCTAAAACTCATTAGTAATGAACTATCATTCAGAACAGTGTGTGTGGGAGGGTGAGGAAGGAAGTTTCTGCCATGTATGTATGGACTATCGTTTAACAGTTTACTTGGTATATTATGTTTTTTTGCCACCTTCTGCCTGTATATGTATTTTTTATAAAATGTCTTGCTTGTATATGGATTTTTTCCGGTTCATTTTCCCCCATCACTTTTGGAATTGTCCTGTCGGTCCATTTCTTATATCTGTGCTGGTATACGTTTATCCCCGAGCCGACGGCGCAAAGCGCCGTGCGAGGGTACTAATCCCCCCCGGCTATTTACACCCGGGGAAACGAAAGCATTAGCGAAGTCTAAAGTTCATCAAATATCTCGGGCGTCGGTCACCAACGATGGTGAGTGGGTGGTCATCCTCACTGATCTCAACAATATGGCTGATTGCTTGTAGGAGTGGGATGAGCAAGATTTCAATTTTAAAAGACATATATTGGGGAAATCGTTTCATATATTATTATTATTATTATTATTGATCTTTAAACACGGTAACCTTTCACATAGGTGATTTTCAAAGGGCCGTGCGGAAAATAAATGCATTATAAAAGAAGGAACTAATAAACTAAATTATACTTATTTACAAAATATACTTATTTACTTATTTACTTATTTACAAGATGTAATTATTTAATAGATGATGGGCAGATTTTAAACTTGTTGACTCTCTTAGGGTTTTCAACAAGTTTACTGGGATGTTGTTCCAATACGCTGTTCCTCTGTACGAAAAGCTATTTTTCAAGAAATTTGTTTTTGGTTTAGGTTGAGACAGCTTTAAATTACTACTGCGCAGTACGTAACCATTGTTTTCGCAAGTGTGAAATAGTTGTGTTACGTATTCTGGAAGCATGCCATTAATCGCTTTAAATGTCATAAGGAGATCTCGCTTTTTCAAAACTAAGTCAAGAGGTTTCCAGCTAAGGTTTTGAAAAATGTCCGAAGATCTTATAGTATAGTCCGAATTTATTATTATTCTTGCTGCTCGTTTCTGAAGCTTATATAATTTGTCTAAGTGTGTTTGGTTGTTATTTTGCCAAACAGTTGAACAGTAGTTAAAATGAGGCGCGACTAATGCGTTATACATAATTTTGAGCGTATCTAGGCCAACAAAATCTTTGGCTTTTCTTAAAAGATTAATATTTTTTGATATCTTGTTGCATTGTTCTTCATTTTGTCTATTCCTGCTAAGTCTATCGTCTATAACTATACCCAAAGCTTCCTTTTTATAAACTCGTTCAATTTGATGTCCGTTTATACTGATTTTTGGCACGTGATCTAAGTTTTTCAATCGTTGCCGAGATCCAATAATCATATATTTGGTTTTTTCGTTGTTTAATGTTAGTGTATTCGCTGATAACCATTTTTGAGCATTTACTAGGTCTTTGTTAAGTTTGTATTCAATATCTATGGATAAATGCCCTTGACATGATAAAATTGTGTCATCAGCAAATAAATTAGAATGTGTTGTTTCTAGGCAGTTTGGGAGGTCGTTTATGTAAATGAGAAATAATAGAGGTCCAAGATTTGAACCCTGAGGTACTCCACAACGAATTGTTTCAATATCAGATTTACAGTTATTTAGCATGCAAATTTGCTTTCTTGAAACAATTTTGAAAGCTTGAAACAATTTTGTTTGAAGAAATGAGAAGAATTTTTTTTACTATGGGAAATCGTGAAATATACGGCAAGTTTCCTTTGAATATTTAATGTTTACGAATTTTGTTGCTTTAACTTTTTGGCTAAAAACATGAACTGTTTTCCTTTTCAACGAAGCTCTAAGTTTCATAAATTACCGTTCAATTTGAGGAAAAATCTTAAAATGTAAAGGAGAACAAATTGATTTGAAGACTGAATTGAAATTACCTAACAATTTGTTTTATTTGTAACTTATTAGGCCTATGTTTTATTATTAGTTTATCGGCAAATGAACTATATAAGTTCTTTGAATGTTTGCATGGCGATAAAATATAATTGTTTTTGTTTGTGGAAACACCACGTAAATTTATTACTGCAGTAATAAATTTACGTGGTGTTTCCACAAACAAAAACAATTAAATGAACTAAGTTGAATGAAGATTTCAAAACATTTTACGAAGCGTTTCAAGTTAAATTTTACATTAAATCAAAGCTTACAAAATACAAATTAAATAATATACCTACAGTATATATTTCGGAAATGTATTTTTGTATAGTTAAAAGCACGAATCTTTCAACCATTTTGCAGTTTTGTACCGGAGGGTTTAAACTGCAGGTTGCAGGTGTGCAGGTGCAGGTTGCAGGTGTGATATTCTAGTACAAGATCAAAACTTGACATTCATGAAAAAGTGTGAAGCACGCGTAAAATTTTATCTTAGCTAAGTTTGAATTTTCTTTTATAATTGATTTTGTCACTCTTTGCGAGAAACGTCCGCCATATTGAATTCTTAGCTCAAAAACACCTGATATCCCATATTATCAATAGTTTTCCCCATACCGCCAAAACATGTGATCACAGAGTAAATACTATGTAACTACTATGTACCTACTACTACCTACTGTATATCAGTGGTACCTACTTTATCATGCCACTACCTAACCCGCGAACAGGCATACTCTGGGAACGAGATTGGTTTTGTACAAAAAATATGAAAAAATTGATAAGAATATCGTGTTGTCATGGCAACACTTGAGCGCGAGCCTGCATTCAGTGGGCCATTTCAGAATACTTCATGTTATTTTAATGTTTGGAAAATATTGGCGAGGGGTCACTGCATGCATGTATTTCTAGTATATATATACTATAGTCACATGAATATTAATTGTGCATGTTGTCCACAGCAGGCCGCCACTCCGGCCATTTACATTTATTTAATCGAACCGAAAACGGTCACATCCCATGGCTGTTCTGGCTGTCCCTACTTTCGAGTCACATGACTGTTCTGGCTGTCCCTACTAAATATTGTCAAAGTGTTCAGAGAGATTTTCTACCGATATATACAACCTGAATTATGAACCAGTAAATTAATATATTTACCAGTAAAAATAGGTTATGGGAAACAGGTTTTTAAGAACTTTCCCTTTGTACAAAATTTGATAAATGACATGTCGTTCTTTATGTAATAATCTCCAATAAACAGTTTCTCTGATTATACTTCTTTCTTTTGTCATCTACTTGATTCATGTGGAAATCAGCCAATTTGATGATTGATAAATGTCTTCTAATCCATGTCTCAATAAGACAATATCCCACTCATTGCGAAGACAAAAACAGCGAAATTTTGAATAATGAAATGGCATACACCCTTTCGATAATTACGTCATTTGACCTGGAAGCCCCATTCTCATGAATTGTGTGCCAATCACCTTGCATAATTCACTAATGAGAGCGAGGCTCCAGGACCAAAAAGTATGTGTGACGTAATTATCGAAAGGGTGTATTAGCAATGTGCAACCATGCATCCACGCCAAAACTATATTAGAAATATTTTGCAAAAAAATGATTTTTGGCGTAGTGAAATCAAATTTCGCTGTCGTTGAGTGATATGCGGCCGGTTTTAGTGCAAAATCAATTGATTTTAATTGTACATACAAATAAAACTTTGGTTCGCAGTTTGCCAAATATATATCACTTTACGTTGGGTTAAACCGAAAGATTTATTTCATTCATCATGGAAAATATCAAACAAGGAAACAGAACCCGCAGAATATTGTAGCGTCCTTTCTGCTTCTAAATTTTGAACAGTGCAACAATACAGCTGGTACTAGCCTAGATATTGTAAAAGTAAATTCACAAGAATACTACTTATAGCAGGTATATATGTATAACGATGTAATATTTGTTATGATAGACCGGTGGAATATTCGTATGATCTCATGATCTGAATTATGCATTATCCATTAGATTTCATTGAGCAACCGTGTAATATTAGACACGTCTCATAGTCCCATGGTTTGTCGGCAAACTAAATTAATGCTGAATTTCTCAGGTTCAATGAAATTCATTCTTGAATCACAACTTATTGTTTCAATACTCCAGCTAACTGGCGCGCAACTTAAAACCTTTATTGCTTTAAAAAAGACACTACACTTCTCAAAGAGTCCAAAACGTTGATCGTGAATGGAATTTGTTCAAGGATTAAATTCATTTGGGATTGGGAATGGTCGACAAGGAGTTAACATATGAAAGATATTACATGTCATGAATTTCGTGTATCTTATAAGCAATATCCATGCAGAATACTGGACCTCCCCATCCAGCCCAGTCAAGCAGAAAATCTTTTGTAATTCAGCCAAAATTTGATGGATTTGTTCTTGGCATATGACCATTGATTCTACAATTTACCTTCTGACGTACAAACACAAACCATAGTTAATATATATATATTAACTATGCACAAACTAACATGCACATACGAAGTCACAAAACCTAGGTGAAAATGCATTTCTGGCGGATCCGAAGTTACTGATCCGAAGTTCACAGGAGGCAGGATCGGAAGTGTGTCTCATATTTGCATATCAAGTTTCAATTGCTATCAAAGCCGGAAGAACTTTACACCATACAAAACAACACCATATATATTATAGCATTAGGTGGCCAATTTACAGGAATATTTGTTAAGCAGGTAAGTAACTATGTAATATTATAATAGACTTTTAATTTGAGTGATTCAGTATTGACTATTGGTACTATTCGTATGAAAACGTATTATATTAAATATGATATGTAGTTCATTTCCCCCACATATTTCCGTTCTCTGACTCTGGTTTGTGTACTAAGTTATGTAATCTCAATCAGTGGCGTAGCGCTCATTGGGAGGGTTAGTTCCAAAACTAAGGGCCCCCGACAATTAGGGGCCCCATCACCCACGGCTTATCGCCCAGAAAATTAGAAAATGTAAAAAATGCAGGTTAAGAATCAATGGGAAAATGCAAAATTAATAAAGAATTAAACCTCCATCGACAACGGTAGCTGATTTTTTTATTCCATCTCAAATAAAACAAATGTTATTCTTATTAGTTGTTACATGTGTTGGAGACTGTTATTGCTATAGACATGGAATTTTCCAGACTACATTCTATAAATACTCAATATAAAAATATATCTCATGAGTCAGACAATGACAACAGTCAACAGGGGCCCCCACACCAAATATGCCTAAGGGCCCCCTGTTCCTCTGTTACGTCACTGATCTCAATGAAATTTAGATATGTGTCCAAGATACAGTGGGAGAGCTCTCCTAACTGACTTCATTCTGAGGACAAGTACAAGTACTGCAAATAACTAACTATATTATATATGCAGTAACAGCTTAATCAGCCTGAATTAATACAAAATGTATATAAGCTTTTTGCACGGGCCACATTTTCTCACCTCATTGTATGTGAAAACTGAAAAGTGTATAGCTAGTAAGTTTCTATACGAGTGTGTCCACTATCTGAAGATTTTGCCACTATAGCTACCCCACCTAACCCAACACCCCTGGTCCACCCTTAAAAGTTCATATATAGCAACCAAATACAATATCAGATAAATATACCTAATGGCTAATCCCTCAATAACTACATTGACAACCCAATGTTTACACATTCCAGTCTCGTGTGATGGTCTGGGGCTGTCTGGACTTGCGACGTTAGATTACGCCTAAAGACACTAAATTTTTCAGAATTTTAGGCATCTAAGAAGGGTTTTGACTTTGATGTAAATTTCGAGTGTGAAATTTTATACATTTATTAGACCTAACCATGAACAGTTGCGGAAAATACAACTATATAGTCCCTCTCGGGCAGGAGTCGAACCTGCGGCCCTGCGATTCCGATCCATGCAGTGCTCTAACCAACTAAGCCCAGAGTCCAGTTGTCGAGCTCTAATATATAGGTAGTACCGAGAATACTGAACTAAATCAATATATATACCTACAATTCAAAGCAAACATTCCCCAGCTTGTTTATAAAATTGGAAATATTTCTTCAGTACTTTTGTCTGGATCAATATATAGGAGTTTTGTTTTCTGACGTTTTGTAATAAACAAACGTGCAGAGAAATACACAAACTTGAAAACGACGGGTAAACTTTTAATCCAGGGGCCGGTTGTTTAAATCTGGATTATTGCGCTAACCTTCGGCGCGGTTAAAATTTAACCTGCTGTTTTGGTTTATGTATTTCCACACGTCTGTTTATTTCACAAAACTTCAGAGAAGAAAACTTCTACTGATCCAGACAATATTTCTGAAGAAATATTTGTAAATTTATAAAGTTTGCTTTAAATTTTAGGTTAACCTAGGGTTAAGCTATTAATCTGCTTTCGAAAAACTGCCACAGGGTTAGATCTAATCCATATACTAATTTGAATTGGCTTTGCTGTATGTCTGATGTAGCATTTCCTTCTTCAACCATAGATTGATTAATATTTTATTTGTTTCATATAGATTAATATCACAAAATATGACTGGTTTGGCGTTTGCCATATTACTTGATCTCTATTTTTTGTTATTTCAGCCTTGTAAAGGTAAGGACTCTATTAAACTATAGACACTAGACAGAACAAATAATAGATTAATTGTCACAGTTTTTTCTCGATAAGCACAACAAGTTAATACTCAAGGTTTTGGTTTTAGGGAATATAGGCCTGACGGAACAAAACATGTTTATTTAACTATTGGGTGCTTTTTCACATTCTTGAATCTCTATATGACTATATGAAAACAATTATAATTTTGCATGGGCATAACGCTTGAGTCCATTTCCTGTAGCGCTGTAAAATTATCATGTTAAAATAAATGCTTTTATTATTATTATTACTAGCGCTGCAAAGTTTATCATGTACATTCAGAAAACAAACTTCGCGATTTCATCTCGCCTAGTTCGATGAAGTCACTAAGTAACTTCAAATGTCCGAACACTTGTGTGGAATTTTGACAATGCGCAGCCTTGCATGCAGGATATATGTTTTCTGACATATTCACATATTCGTCTGTGAAGCACCCAATGATAGATAAGTTCTAGGAACATTGGCTGACCCTGAAACGTAATCTGAATTCCATTATTTTTAACTTCTAAAAATTAGAATTTTTGTGTTTAGGAGTGATCATTTCACCACGTGATGGAACAAAGCTTACATTTCTACCTGGATCAAGTAGGAATATAACATGGACATTTGATGATGCTAAAGCAGCTTACCGGGATTGGTCTTTCACAAGTAGTGACGGCTTAGGAAGTGGGTTACTTGGAGGAATAGTTTCTGAATTTGAGCCTCAAATAACAACGGACGTCTTACCCGGGGTTGACATAATAAAGCCAGCAACATTGGCTTTAAGCAATGTGGATCAAAATTATAATGGAACATACACCTTTCTCCTTAAAGTAAATGGCAAGCCAGATGATACGTCTGATGTGATTGTTTTTATTGCAAGTAAGTTCATTAAAAATGTGCAATATAAATTATTTGAAGGTTTCGTCACAGACAGTTTATAGAAGGGACAAGGTAGTATGTATGAAGATCCATGCATGCATGCATGCATGCAGTTTGGCGGTCGCTAGTTGTACGGCGTCTTCGTCACAATTTTCATACATGTGTGTGTATAAAGTCTCGATCAATGCAATATTTTGAAATACTTCTTATATGAAATAATTTTTATACTGATCCACACTGGAAAATTTAAACAATTTGCAAATTTTGGTTTTCTAGACTTTCTAGAAAATTTCCGTGCTTTTTCTCGAAGATCTCTATATACTATATAGAATTTTAGAGGTTGACCGAATTTCAAACCTTATTTCAGGTAATTTCTCCGTATTTTCCACAGTATGACAGTGTTTCAAATTTTCTAGTGGTCCGTGCAGGGCCTCCCAGAGAAATTCGGGGGCCCAGGACAATTTTTTAATTCGGAGACCCTATTTTCCACCCAAAAAGTTGGTTAGCGAGTGGGGAGTTTACTATTATAAAATTGTCATTGTCAATGATTTACTGGTCATTTCCAATCAAAAATCGCATCAAAATCTAGTTCAATTTTATCCAAAATACCGTTGGCAACAATATACTTTAGTTGGCAACAAGTCCCGAAAACGCATAAGTGCATGAGTATATACTGTCAAATAATATCTTTAGTGAACAAGCATTTATTGACTTCAATAATTCTCTCCATGACTGAATTTATTTATTTACTCGTTCTTTAATTTTTAATTTTTTTGTTAAAACATCGATCTTTGCCCAACCTTAACTTTACAAAATAACTTTACCGTACATTTTTAGTAAAGCCAACTGTGACAACTTGTTCCAGTCCTGTCACAGTGGTTGAAGGGAATGATATTACATGTGAATGTCAAGCACAGGGTGGTAACCCTGCTGCCAATGTAACATGGTTTAAAGATGACATACAGATCGGTGAAACAGGAAAGGAAGAACAAACATTAACTCGACGTAATGTTAGTGCTGCAGATAGCGGAACGTACAAATGTGTAGCCGAGAGCTATCCCGATGCAAAGTTTAAAGATGAAGGATTGATCACAGTTGTAGTAAAACTTAAATGTAAGTATCGTTGCCGTTGGTACTCAAGTTAAGCATTATACAGTATTTCAGTGTATATTTAGTAATAGAACTACTGTTCATAACCTTACTACTAGCTACTACACTGTAAATCTCGCGTTGTTGCGGCAACACCAAAAAGGTGTAACATTACACTGATTAGGTGTAACGCGGAATTAAACACTGTTCGAGTGTAACATTACACTTCCACAGTGTAGCAACACTATTTTAGTGTTTTGGTAACACTTACTAGGTGTAAAATAGAAAATATCCTAATTACACCTAATTCGGTGTAGATTTACATTATAACGGTGTAACCTTACCTCTTCTCACTGTTAATTTACACTTTGCGATGGTGTAAATATACACTTATTTGGTGCTGCCTCGTACCCAGGCGCTTACATGAAGTATTCAGGTAGACATCCGACGCGCGAAGCCATCAGCCCCTTCGCCATCTCTCCCCACTACAATACTTCATGTAAACACGTCATATGGGCATCACTGTTTTTTTACAAAGAGACGCCTGGGTACGAGGCAGTAGGTGCTTGGGTTCGTGCAAACTGTTTTCCGGCTGAATGTTCTTTCTAGCAGAAAACAATTGTGAGCGCACCAGTTCTTCTGTGCACAAGGTTTCATTTGCCTTGCTCCATTCAACCATTTCCATGAACTGATAATCTCTTGCAAGACATCCAGCTTTCTTGGCGTATTCAAAGGCACTACATAAGAAACGAGTTCTCTGATCAGAACTGACTTGCGAACGTCGATAATTATAAATGGACCGTACCAAATTGAGCTGAACTTCACGATACACACTGAGTGGATTTCCTTCATCAGCGGATCCATGTACAGCCAAAATGCTTTTCTTTGCTTTATCTATGCCCGAATTGTTTACATTATAATTACCTTTGATACGCTGTCCACTTATATTGCAGCCAAGGTAAAAAGTGGCCAAAGTTATATGTATCTTCTGCTCCATTTCTGTAACGACTTCAGAATGATCTGGGGGGACTGGGACACATCGTAAATGTTCCAGAGCTCTTATTGAAAGAACATCAGGTGAACCTACTTCATTTGTTGGATCTTCTGAATTTATCAAGTCAGTCACAGTTCCAGCAAAAACGTATACTATTGCCGTTACCAGGCCTGGCTGAATCAGTTCTGCCTTGGACAAAGCTGCAGTCAATAGTTCTGGGAGCTCTTGAAAATCTCCACTTGCACGTTTTAGAGCTGCTTGTAAGTACAATCCCATCACCTCGAAAATGAAACGATCTTGTGCTTGCGGTAAAATGGTGTTGTACTGTTCGAGAGAGGCACGTGCTTCATTGAAACTGCCTCTACGGTAACACGCAGTGATTTGTTTTGACAAAACCAATAACTTCATCACGCTTAGTTGAGATTTTTTCTGAAGAATTTGACACTCTTTTGAAAAGGCACCCCAATCACCTTTATTAATTAATTTCCTTAATTTTTCACCTTCAACGCCAACAGTGAAAGTCTTCCGAGCCTCAGCTGAGCTCCAAGAAATACGATGAACTGACCGCGGGATTTCTTCCCTTCTACGCAACCAACCTGGACGCAATATTGCTTTTTTCCAAGTGGTGAACGACATCTTATTAACTTTCCCCTCCACCATTTCATAACATTCTGGTTCTTCAGTGAACACACCACCAAGACAAGGAGCGATATAGATCACGATCACAAAGGTTGATGGGATAGGTTTGGAGTTTTGATCTAACACTGGCTCGAAGAATATTTCCCAGTGTACCCCCCGTTTTGGTTGATCAATCTCCTGAGGCCAAATCATCATCTTGATGGCTTTCCTAACTTTATTTGTTATTTCAATGTTGTCCGCGTTCGGAATCAGCTCGCCTTCAACAACTCCATCATCTCTGATCCCATAGTAGATATGACCTCCGCTATGGTTGGCAAACGCTGAAACATAGCAACTGAATTTATTACTTTTACCTGTCATACGATCTGCTAGTCTGGTGCGTTTCGATGGACCTGCTTTTAGATGCTTCAATTCACACATTTTGTTTTCACGGAAACTGCATTCTTTGTCTTTACAGAACAATCTCTTATGTGAGCCAGGTTGGACAGATTCTGAATCAACATTTCTGTTGACAACTTTATCCAGTGATTCCAGAGGAGACATTTGTACAACTAGTGTTTGACTCGGTAAATAAAGGTTATAATTAGTTGTAATTAATGAATCAGATTTTTTAACTAAAATGAGTATTCTTTTTTCATCCTCTTTGAAATTTATATTCGAGACGGTCTGATTCAATCCAATGATAGAGATCATAGATTGTTCTAGCATTCGAACCACCAAGGACATTTGAGAAGATTTGCATTTCTCGCAGTCGCACTCGTTATGTAACACAACATTTCCACCATCGCTGTTTAACATGGCACAGATAGCATGAACTATTTCATTTAATTTATTTCCTTTGTACCTTCTATTAGCAGAAGTGTTTTCAAATCTACATAAGGATATCACGTGTACAGTCTCATCAACACGATCGTCCATCGTTGTTTGTAAAGTATAGTAGCCTACGTGTTTCCACCGAATCACAAAAAATTTAATCCCTATAGAAAAGATAGAGTAGCAGACAAATAAGAGCCTATCAAAGATACTAGCCGTTTTTTTAGTTTTACGAAAACATTTCAGAACAGAAAATACGCGGAGTGATTATAACTAGAGAATACTTATGATTTATATGTGGTTTACAGGTATAAACTGTTATAAACTGGCCGTTGAGAACTAAGATCGTGACTTTATTTTTACGACTGGCCATACTGGAAATCAGGCTCAAGTTATTTATTTCGCACGTGTTTCATGCATCATCATGCACTTCACCACGAATTTATTTCAAGAATTAATTCACCTTATTCGTACTTAATTTCGCGTGACTTTATATTAACAACTTTAACAGTTTCGCGATTTTTTTTAAATCGCACGAAGAAAAAACCTGGCGAAATTTTAAGTAAATATCTTATCGTGATAAATATGACCTACAATATATATCGATATATATAGTCTACTGTATATAAATATGACCAACAATATATATCGATATATATAGTCTACTGTTTTTCTCAGTAATTCTTGTCCCAATTTTCCCTTGCTTGGTAACGATTTATCCGTCTGAATGCGAATTTAAGACTGAAACATTTCACCACAGCTTAAAAGAGCATCGCAAAATTAGTATTATTCCGAAGTTTCGTTGCGAAATGTTGTAAAATGCGGTAATATAGCCCCATGGGCGTAACGGAAGGAAAAAATTAGGGGGGCGGAAAGAAAATTGCCCGACTTTTCGTAAAATTGCCCGACTTTTTGTGATTGTGCCCGACTACTACCAAAAATTTTTCCCGGAAATATTATTTAGGCGACCCCCCCCCGTCGCCAAAAAAATTTCGGTCAGTGTACCATTTAAGGGGTCAAAAAAATTTTCCGGACATACCAAAATTTTTCGGAGCATCACATAAATTTTCAAAAAAACACTACATTGGCCACAAAATTGACTAAATTTTCGAAAAAATTGACAGAATTTGTCCGATTTATTTTTATAACAAACCAAAATTGCCCGACTGTTAATCGAATATTGCCCGACTGCCCAAAAAACTGGGGGGCTACCGCCCCCCCCCCGCCCCCCCCCCCTCCCGGTACGCCTATGTATAGCCCTGCGAAGTTTGCCGTTTTTTCATTCATTTTGTATTAGGCCTACGCACGGGAAATTGATACCTTTCCTCAAAAAGCGGGTATCGGTTTCCCGTGTGTAATTTTTGTCTAGATTTGTTGAGATCAAAATTTTGGTTATTAGGTAATAGGTCCATTTGCCCGACTTTAACCCCGACTCTAACATCTAACCCTAATCTAATCTTAATCTGACCCTAATCTAAATCTGACGACCTATTTTTTATTATACAGGGTGTATAAAAAAACTGAACAGAATTGAAATTTCTCTCAATTTCGCAAAACAGCTATTAGTATCCAGTTTTTGATATATATAACGAACTCAAATTTTGTAAACCGGGGGGGGGGGGTGTCTTTTCCAACAAACTCAAAATGGCTTGCGCACGAAATTTAGAAGCTTTAATCATATTTTGAGTTGATAGATGGAAAACGTGTTGGGTTTTTAATTACTGTGCAAAATTTCAGACAATTTGCTTTAGTTTAAGCCCTTTAACTATTCATTTTTCTCTAAAAAATTAGCCTTTCGCATGCTTAATTAATGCCTTTACCTTTAATTTGCATATTGCTGACATATGCAAATTAGGCAAAGGTGTTAATTAGCATGCAAATAGCTGATTTTTGAAGAGAATATGCGAGTTTGCGTGAATAGTTAAAGGCTTAAACTTGTTGGAAAAGAAACCCTCCGCCCCCTGGTTCACAAAATTTGAGTTCGAGAAATGTTTTTCATTTTTCTACATTATAAGTACCCAAAGAAGCTCTATACATCAAAAACTGGATACTAGTAGCTGTTTTGCGAAATTAAGAGCAATTTCAAATCTGTTCAGTTTTTTTTTATACACCCTGTATACCCACACCTGCACGTAAAGTAAATGCATGTAAAGTCTTAAGAAATAGTTTATTTTTAACAGAATAAATAACTAAAAATATTTTATCAATAAAATGTTTGAAACAGGCCATAGTTTGAGAAAAGATTGGGGTTAGGTCAAATAAAAAAAATCCCGATTTCATTCATCAACACCCACATTACCATGCAGAACGAACAGTGTCCACGTTTGATTTAAAAAAAAATTGTGTTGTAAAAATCTCAGACTGGGTCTTTTATAAGATCCTGAGAGTAGGGTAATTTACGATTTAATAGGTCAGGCTATATGCGAGCAATGTTGGCTTGGGATGATTTACATACACTGATACACTATACTCTCTATAAACCCCTACGCGGCTATGATATCAATCTATATAAATATACAAATATAAGCAGATATATTTGATCGTATTTCTTGTGACATCTTTTGATGATTAAGCAGCATTTAGTGCATCTCCTAATACTCTTAGACTTAGTCAATTTACGTATAATAGGACTTAAATTCAATTGTCGTCATGGTTTATATCAGTGTATTTATTTATTATTGCATTGTAAAATACAAAATAAGACCTTTATATATTGTCCCGTAATAAAAATGGATTGAACAAGGTTAATTTGGTTTGAATATTTCAAAACTCAAAACAAACTGACAGACACCCGTGCTCGAAGTCTGCCTTTCGACTAAGAGGGTTTTATTTAGGAGTTATATATACTAATCAAATTACGTAATTATGAGGGCCACATGCCATAGCTATTTTGGCCCGAGAAAATATTTAGACTAAGGCCTATAACTAGGTTACCCACAGGGCAGTAATGCTGCCTTTGACAGCAAAAGACAAACTACAGGATGTTGAACAAGTCCTTCAGAAACATCCTATTATTGCTATCCTAGCTTGCATAGCGGCTCTCAGAGAAAGTAGATCTGATAGCCGCGACGCAGGCTATTGTTATCCTTGTCAACCCATTTATTGACAGCACGGCCCTACCACTGACTGAGTATTAAAAATCGTCTGGCGTTGGACAGGGTAAATACTAAAGTCATTACTGTGCTGATAGATTAACAAGAGCCATTGGCAGATAAGTTTGTTAATCCATTTACTGGCAGTACCCTGTACCACTGACGAGTAAAATTTTCTGGCGCTGGACAAGGGACTGGCGCATTGCCAGCTAATGGGTAAAACCACCGTGGTTAAACATGAGATTTGATGCTCCAGGAAATTAAACAAACTATCAGTGTGACATCCCAGTTTATATATTTATATACTCGAAATATTGATTTCTTGGTAAATACAAAATTATTTTAAAGTATAACAACCAGCGAAGACGTAAGCCACTAACTACCCTGCGCGCAGACTCGCGCAGACTATATAATGACAAATATATATGTTATCCGTCCGGTCCGTCCGTCCGTCCGTCATTCATTCATCCGTCCGTCCGTATCCGCGTTTTATCCTAACTCGTTTTTAAAACACAAAAGTGCGGTTCGTCATGATCAACATTTTCAAAAGCGGCCAATTAGACCAGGGGTTAAAGGGCAATGACAATGACATGCAGGTGACATTTAACATTGCGTCTCACTAATTAAAATTTGCGTGTTTATTAATAATGTTTATCAAAGAAAGCAAAAATATATAAAGACAGTCTCACATGTGAAATTTTTTCACTTACGTACTGCCTTGTGATGCAGTACAAGTATAAACACCAAATGACAAAGCATTTGTAAATCCTAAAACATAATTGAATCATACGGCACATTCAAGATTTTAATATCGTATTTCAGCCGCGCGTTTATACTGCTTGGCGCATTCGCTGCGTTATATTAATTTATATACACAGAAAAGCATGTCATTGTCTTTGCGGACCATAGGCAAAAAGCATTCGTCAACCACATACCAAATTTAAGCAATCGTTAAATTATATACATGTCATGGAAAGAATATGAAAATAATGTTGAATGAAAGCTAGCATCGCGTATAATGTTAAAAGCACCGCATATAGTGCTCGAACCACTGCGTATAATTGCAAAAGCACCGCGTATATAAATGGTGAAAGCATCGCGTATATAAATGGTGAAAGCACCGCGTATAATGCTGGAACCACAGCGTATAATGCGGGAACCACCGCGTATAATGGCGAAAGCACCGTGTATAATTCCGAAAGCACCGCTGTATAATGCTAAAAGCACCCAACAAAATGCCGTTTGATCACTTTAAGCCAGCTTTCCATAAAAGAAGACCAAAGATGAAAGATGATCACATTGCCTGTTTGCCTTATGCTTGACCGCGCTGCACCACGGTTAAAATTCACTGGTACCGTCATGCAATGCGCCAAATAGAAAATTTTGATATCGACCCACAAAACAAAATTAGGATCTGCTGCCTTGCTCGCTCGCTTCAGGCTCGCTCGCTGCGGCAGCAATTAATATTATCAATTTTGCCGGCTCTTAGGGAGCGGTCATTATTTATGGTGGGGGGTGGCACCGAAGAGAAAAAGGTTGGGTAAACAAAATTTTGAGTGAGTAAAAGGTTGGGTAAATGAAAAACAAAACAACTCAAGGGTTGGGTAATAAAAAATTATTGTCATTTCCAAAACATGACTTACTGAAATATTGTTGACTGAAAAGCATTGTCAACAGTCATTTGTCAACTACAATATGTGAATCAATCAGAGTAACTATCTTGATCATTTTGACAAACAAATGGTGTTTCCAAAGAAAGTACATGTGCAGACAACATGAAACTTTAGACTGCAGAAAATTTCACAAGTTGTTTTCAAACTCATGTCACAGAAGTGGTAAAGGACATGCATGTGTGACAACTAAATGGTATCTTTTTGTAACTGGTTTTTGGCCAGGGGTGGGTAATTATTTTTAAATTGATATTTGAGGTTGGGTAATCAAATTTTTGTCTTTTTAATAGTTGGGTCAGCAAAAGTTTTGCCAGGAAAACATTTCTCTTCGGTGCCACCCCCCTCCATAAATAATGACCGGTCCCTTATAATAGTCCTCAATATCAGCTGAAAAAGTCTTGCATTATTAAGACTTATCTTACCTTCAACAGATTATCTACGCGTGTGCGGTAAGCTCCAGGCACGGATCTATTGATAGCTTTACAAGAACTGAAATACGATGGAAAAAAAGAGTCCGCTCCGATATTAAACATACTTCGAAACGATGAATTGTATTTGCGTTGAAGGGAATTTCCCTATACGACATTTTCCCCCGGGGATCAGAACATTTTACCTCAATTATTATGTAGCACACAGTCTGTCGCACATAACGGAATAAAACAGTTTTTAAAACGGTAAGTTCTACATTTAACTGGAACTACACGTTTGTCGATCCTTACAAGTATTTTAGATATTTTACTTATCATATTTCTTGGCTAAGACTAAGTGTTTTACCAAACTGGAGTCATCTTTATCAATGTTACTCGATTCTAGTAATACTAGTACTCATCTCGGCGATGCTCGCCAAAAGACAACATCTCGTTCTTGTCTGATGTGGAATGAGTTGAGTGACAGATCAACCGCGGCCACTGTTGCCAACATTGTAATAACGAATCTCATTTGGGGGGATTACCTGTACCAAGGGCAGTACCTGCACCTAAGGACACTGTATGTATAGGGGAGCCACACATATAAACGGGATTGGATATTTGGTTTCTGTGATAATACATGCATAACGTATTATGAGTTTATGTCAATACATACGTTTTTTGTTGCGCCGTCTCAGCAGTGCGAGAAATTTCGTTTTGCTGACTCAGTCAAAGCTCAAAGTTCATCTATATATTTTTGTCAGTATTTGGGGTGACTGATGTGGGATTTGGCCATTTTTCCCCTAATCCTAACGACCTTCCATGAAAATCACTTCGGTGAGTGGAGCTTCCTGAATAAATATATTATTATTATTATTGTTATTCTTACAGTATAAAACAGAATAATAAACACGTCACACAACCGTCGAATTTAATTCAGAGAAATTAAATAAAACGAACACGTTATGACGACAGTGTGTTGTATTTAAATTTGTCTCGGATGAATTAAATTTGCTCACGTACGTTTTATCCGTTATGGTCAAAAGAAAACATCTGAAACGTGTCTTCATTTCATATACGACGCAATATCGAAGTGCATGCATAAATGATATTAAACTTGATCTTAGTGTTAATCTGGTCCCATGGTTCGTGCAATCTATGATGGCTAGTCATGGAGTCAATTCATCTGAGTTAAATTCGTCACATTTGAAGTAAAATCATGTTAAACTCAACCAATGTACGAAACTGTAGCCATAGGCATAGAATGAAACACGTCATCATGTCCAATACAGAACAATTCTCGAATAGGGAACTCCCCAAATATATAACCACATTATTGACCAATGACAATGTGGGGGGGGGGGCGGACATTAATGTGGGGGGGGGGCGGACAGTAAGGCTTTTTCCGGACATTCTATTCTCATTTTCTTTCTGTTTAAGTTACGGTTATTCACCCTTATTTTTCTTAATTTCTCCAAAGCAAAATAGAGAAGGTTGACCTGCTGATTCGTGTTATCCTGCTCGATACGTAATTTGGTTTTCGATACATTCGCACTTTTATCTTTTCTAATTTCGTTTAAAAGGTGACCAAATATTTGACCAAATATTTTCCATTTTGACCAACTTTTTCAACTTATTGGAGGTTGTTACAATTTTTGAAACTCATTTAAAGTAGGCTATCACTATTAGTTTGTTCCTTATTAATGTACTCTTGAATTTTTTATGTATGTGTATATATTTATAGTGAATATTATTATCATTTTCATCATCTATAAGAAACAGAGAAATCATATATATATAATAGTTCAGTTCAAGATACATTCTTTCTGAATTAGTATATAATAACTAAACAGGAAAAGAAAATGCGATAAGGAATGTAAACATAATTCCACAAAAATCAGAGGGCAACAGAATAATTTGCATATTGAATTCTAATATTGATTTTCCTGTTTCTAGTCTCGTGATACCATAGCCTATATCGAAGGGGCGATGGCTGTGAAACTCATTAGAATAACAATAACTCATTATCTATGTTGGTCAACGTTTATTCATAAATCTGGTCCTTCCCGTCTCGTGTCTATTGTATTTTTGCCAAATCCATCAATAGCAATTCCCCCTATTGTTCGAGTCACGGATAGGCAACTTTCCTAAAACATTGCTATTGGTTAGTTGGGCAAAAAGACAATACACACGTGACGGTGAAGGACCAGATTTATGAATAAACGTTGACTAACATAGATAATGAGTCATATTATTATTCTAATGAGTTTGGCCTGTTTCAAACGTCGCGCTTCTCATGTGCCGAACGCGTTAGAAACAATAGATAATGAGGCATTTCAGCTGATTATCTATTGTTTTTAATGCGTTTGGCACATGAGAAGCTCGACGTTTTGAAACAGGCCTTTCACAGTCATCTTCCCTTCGATAGGCTATGGCGATACTTATCGGGGAATTCCCTATAGAGTGCTTGCATGTGACGTCATAAAATTTCTAAAAGCTTAAGCGTTCAACATATATAGTTGCCCATTTTATATATTTTGTATATCCTTACTACAAGTATTCCTGGCAAATTTCAAGTTGATTCAGTAATTCATTCGCAAGTTAAGAGGGCTTGAATAATTTATATTGCTGACGTCAGCATTATTTTGAAAGGCCGTTATAAGCTACGTGGTTTTCCAAACCTAAGTTGAAATATTTCGGTGTGCTTTCAAAACCTTTATATAACTTGACATCAAAACATAATTGAGGACCTGTGTGATAAAATATGTCTTTCCTTGGGCATTTACTACACAGCCGCCATGGTTGGTGTTCTGAGATTGCGTAATATTGGACCACCAACATGGGGGCCGTGTAGTAAATGCTCAAGAAAAGTTATATTTTATCACACAGGTTCACAATTATGTTTGATATTAATTATATAAAACTTTTGAAAGCCCACCGAAATATTTCGACTTAGGTTTGGAAAACCGCGTAGCTTATAACAACCTTTCAAAATAATGCTGACGTCAGCAATATAAATTATTCAAGCCCTCTTCACTCGCGAAGGAATTATGAATCGACTTGAAATTTGCCAGGAATACTTATAGTAAGGATATACAAAATATATAAAATGGACAACTATATATGTTAAACGCTTAAGCTTTTAGAAATTTTTTGACGTTAGATACAAACGCTCCATAGTGATACGAGAATTTGCCCCTTGTCCAAATATTTACATTCCGCATACTCATCTTTCCCCATGGGAATTCCCTATACGGCTATACGGAAAGAGGTACGCCAAACCCATCAAATAAGTTTCGAAACCCCCTGATAGGCGCATTTATTTTAAAGAACAGTAGCCTTAATATTGAAATCATTTCATGTTTGGTCCACCAAACGTTCAGTGCGATTGGGAAAACATGGCTATATATAATGGGCGTGACAGTGCCTACCAAAGATGTATCTCTCTTGACTGTATGAATTGTGAATTTAAAGGTATATATACTATACATTAGATAAACATACTTTATATAATTCAGTAGTTAACTATAGTACACTATCATGATTGGATCATGACTAGGACCGTTTTAACCCATGACTAATGAACCATATTCGACCAATTGACGAATTTGATACCGACAAAATAAATTGTATACGTACTGTGTATATTCTATAGATGGGAAGTGCCGTGCTGTGAGACACAGCTGGATGTTAGTCCGTTTTGAATGGCCAATTAACTTATGCCATGAAAGTACAATTCAATAACATGCATTTGCTAGAGCATAATATTATACTACTCGGAAATAGATCCATTGCACTGACGTCACAAATCCTTAGAGTGTCCTCCAGATGCTCCCTAACAATATCTGTTCGGGTACAACAACCACATACAACGCAAAAATTAACCTTTTTAATACAAAATTATTGTAAACTTTTACAAAATTTGCTTTGTTTACAAAAGTTTTTTTTTATGCATAGATTGCTAATTTGTTCTCCAGATGCATTGTCACCGGCGCTGTGACGTCATGTGCAATGGGTCTATTAGTCGAGTCAACAGACCAAACATTGTTGAAATGATATGGTGTTCTATACGGTTTCTCTCCCAAATATCTTAAAGAAACGATTTTCAATTTGAATAAATTTGATCAAATTATTTTAAAGATGTACATGATAAGCTCATAAAGCAGTGGTAATATGTGATGTAAATGTGCAAAACTAACCACATATTGTTTGATGCGGGCCAACATGGTTGGACCTTTATCCCGAAATAGATCACTCGTTTCACTAGAACTATAGTATATTATTAGTATGAAACCCATCCTAGGTTTATATCTTTAACTGAAAACAATAAACTAGATATATTGAAACTTAGCATTATGATGACATCATAACACCTCTCTAAATTGAATCTTAGGATTATGATGACACAGCAATATTAGCAATATGATATGTTGAAACAGAGACAGGATAAGGGTTGATAAGTGATGCACTTTTATTGTGTCTATGTTTTGTCTTGATCTTGGGATTATCATGACACAGCAATATTCGCATAAAAAAAATGCTGCTCTCAGCTCTCTCATAGACCTTTCTTCTAATGACGTCAAACGCGGAAAACGCTCAATGTGAAGTCCCGAAAGACAATCTTTAGCGACAATTCGCAATACAAATGTTTTTATGAAATTTATTGGCTCGGCAACAAATCGCCTGTGAGGTTTTCCGCGTTTAATGTCATTAGAATGCTTAGTCATCACCCCATTGATTAACAACTACCTAAGCAAATATTACTAGTTATTCATTTGTTCTAAATCTATTATAGGGATTAGAAGCTTCAGTATATTGTTGATGTTATAAGGCCTCAGAATTGTATCGCTAAAAATCGTTTACTTTTTGGTAAAGAAACGTACGAACGACGATGGACAGTCATGTTGATAAGACTGTTCATATGATATTCTTATGTAAGTTTGTTAACAGCTCGTCCTCGACTAACAAAAGGTACAAGGAACAAATATTAAAAGATATAATAATTGCTATCTGTGCTATGCTAAACAGCATTGGTGGAAAAGTTGTGTTATATAACAAGTGCACGTGCCTGTTAGCCGTCTCCGCGATTTCTTTGTTGATTCGAATTCTGGAACAATCTCTGATATCTATTATTGTATCAAACCAGACCATCTCGAAAATAAATTTCAAAGAAGATAAAGAAAGCATGGTCATTTTAGTCAAAAAGGCTGATTGCTTAATAATAACTAATTATAATCTTTATTTGCCAAGTCAATCACAAGTTGTACAAATATCTCCTTGGGAGCCACTGGAGAAAGTCAAGGACGATATCATTAACAGAAGATTCGTCCCAGAACCAGTTCAACTTGATTCACATTGTCGAATATTTCTTAAAGGTAAAAATTGTGATTTTCATGAGAACAAAATGGTTATGTTTAAGAATCTAAAAGCAGATCAATCAAAACGTACCAGACTAGCAGATCGTATGACTGGTAAAGGTAATAAGTTCAGTTGTTATGTATCTGCTTTCGCCAACTATAACGGAGGCCACATGTACTTTGGTATCAGAGACGATGGGGTTGTTGAAGGCGAGGTGATCCCAAACGAAGATATCAGTGAAATAATAAAGAAAGTTGAAAAAGCCATCAAGAAGATGATCTGGCCTGAGCAGATTGGCCAACCAAAACGAGGGGAACACTGGGAAATATTCTTCGAGCCAGTGGTAGATGAAAACTCCAATGTTATCCCATCAACCTTTGTGATCGTGATCTATATTGCTCCTTGTCTGGGTGGTGTGTTCACTGAGGAACCAGAATGTTATGAAATGGTGGAGGGGAAAGTTGAGAAGATGTCGTTTGCTACTTGGAAGAAGAGAGTATTGCAACGTGATGATGTAGATATTCCTGCGGCAGTACAACGGATTGAATGGAGCTCATCTGCGACAGAACGTCGTTGCACTAAGGCTCGTGAAATTTTAATGATGGCCATTAATAATGGCAAATGGGAAATATTTTCAAAATATGCAAAGTTATTTGAAGATAAACATCCTGAAGTTGAGGTGAAGCTAATGGTTTTGTCAAGAAGAGTGGTAGCGAGTTACCGGCAAGGTTGTCTTTCCAAAGCACGTCTCTTGTTTGATGATTATGATAAACTTTTATCGAAAGCAAACGATATCTTGATTTTCGAAGTGATTTATTTGTGTTTGAAAGCAGCTTTAAAGCGTGCGGAAAAGGAACTCGAAGCTGCTAGGGAATTATTGAAAAGTGCTTTGTTAAAGGCGGACCAGTTAACACCAGGGATTATTACAGCAGTGCCATTATTATTCGTGGCAATGAATCAAAACTCTGGACTAAATGAGAATGGACCATCGTCTGCCGAACTTTCTAGGAAGGTACTTGAACATTTGAAGTATGCACCAAAGTCTCAAGAACAAGTAGGAATGGAACACAAGGCGTACATCATTTTTGCAACATTTCATCTTGGATATGATATGTCAGGAAAGATAATCGAGAAGCATGTGAATCAATCAAAGCTGGAAACAGCGAAGTCTAGCATAATGGCGTTAAATAAGTCGGTATGTAGTGGTTATTCGCTCAGTCGATACCGTGAGGTTCAGTTCAATTTGGTACAGTCGACCCTTTATTATCGGTATGCCCAAGTTAAGCCTGAAAAGAACGAAGTATTTCTAGAAGAAGCGTTTCAATTCTCTAAGAAAGCTCAACATCTTGCCAGAGCTTCTAATTTTGATGAAATGGTTACATGGGCCAATGTTAGTGCAGCTTTGTATACTGAAAAATTAGTCCTTGCAAGGTTGCGAAAATGGATAAGGTAAAGAAGATATATGTACCGGTTAAGTAAAAAGTAAGTGTTTGCCTGATTGCATATGTTTTCTACGAGCAGAAAAGAATATACATGCCTTCTGGTACAACCAATCTTGACATAAAATTGTTGACCTTTACAGGTCGTTTTTATTGATAAAAAAGTTAAACTTCAATATATTCATTTTTTAGAAATTGAAAGATTATATTTCGTAAAACTGTGTCTGCCAATAAAATATCTGCTGCTTAATTCCTTTGCACAACATAATTTAATCCAGATAATATTATGCTCATTGCATGTTTGCATGGAATGGCGATAAAATATTTATTTTCATTTGTAGAAACACCACGTATATTTTTAATAATTGCAAGGCTTTCCATTTGTAAGGTCGGTCGGATCTTGGTCAGTGCTAATAGTAATACAGTAGCAGCCTAGAACTTGGCCTTTACTCGACTGCTTTTGGCAGGTTTGGTTAATTTTGGACTAGCATTTGGCAAGTATGACATCACAGGCAGAGTCCGACCAGTCTTCGGATGTAAAAAAAAGAATTACAAAGATAATGTGAAAGAAATCCCCATTCCAAAATTCCGCCAGATACCCTGGATATTTGAAATGACGTGAAGATCCTTGTTACGGATCGAAAGCTTTTCAAAAATAAATATACGTGGTGTTTCCACAAACCAAAATAAATATTCTAGATAATTAAGCCAAAATTGTCCTCGTTTAAGCATTTATATTATAGTTTGAAATGAATACAAATGGAATGGGTTAGAATAAATAACATAATTAGAAATATCACAATAGTTGTAATTGTAGTAGTTTATAGCTGGGTTTCAAACAATCCCACAAGACTTTAACACAAGGATAATGGAGGTTCAAGATTCAAATGAGCACTGAATTCTCTGAAACTCTCAAAGTGATGCAGATGCGTCTTGGATGTCTGAACTGCCTGCATGTGTCTATCAAGATTGCTTCACCAGAAGTAACCATACAAAGAGCACACATGGTAACAGCAATAACATGGAAATGTTCTTTGGCATTCGCTGGGCCAAGAAAATTTACGACTCTTAATTATAAGTGTTAATTAGATCAATCACTATCAGGGATGGACCATTTGTAAAGGAAGGGGGGGGGGGCGGGGTAAGAACCAAAAAATCTATACAAGCAAAATATTTTAAAACATACTACACCACGCCCCCCTTCACTTCTCCGATGGTGCATCTCTCACATTAAAGGACTTGTTTTAATGACTTTTGTGAAGCAATATCAGATTCTTGGTTGATAGCAATAAACTTGGTTGATTACACCCTCAAACGGTGTAAATTTACCCAAATCTTGTGTATGAAAAAACACCTTGATTGTATAAATATACACCGGTATGGTGTAAAAAATATGAATGCTTACTTAGGGTAAATCTACACTGAACCTGGTGTATAATTACACTAAGACCATTTTAAGATACACTGATCTGGTGTAAAGTAGAAACTGAAATATTAACGAACACCTATACTATGCTGTTATTGCTGTAAACTTACCCTCAAACTGTGTAAATTTAGCGATCTAATTCTCGTGTATGAGACGACACCATGATAGTGTAAGGTGTAAACCTATATCAGTGGTGTAAACATACAGAATTCGAATAGTGTAAAAGTTTGTATGGGGACCAAAATATACTGGCCGGCTTACCCTTCACATTAGGGCTTTTTGAAAAGTCGGTGTAAAAGTGTAAAGTATAAACTATTTTATAAGACTACCTTTAAACGGTGTGTAAACATAAACAGTGCGTTTTGTAAGGTGTGCCATGCAGACCTCACATTGTTCATTTTTTATTGCAATCTGTTACCTCCATATATTACGTTTTCCCAATC